ATGTCCACGGGCTCATTCTGACAGCACTTCAGACAGCAGCTGCATGCCTCGAGCTTGTGTACCATCATGCAACATGATGTTATTATTGTACAGACAGCACTTCAGACAGCAGTATGCTGCAGTCGAGACAAACAGTCACTTTGGTTAAATGCGGGACAAGGGGGGTGATGCTGCTGCTGTAGTCGATTTGTAGTGTGTGGGCGTGTAGTTCAGTTGTGAGCACGAAAACGTGCTGCAGGGATTGCAGGTGTACCTCCTCGGGCTTGCGTACCCTTTCCTTGCTAATAGTGTGTGTGTTCGTTAGATCTTCTGATGGCTCTAGCATTTTTGTGACCACGGACCGAGTCTTTGCTACATTTTGGGATTAGCAACTGACACGAGTTTAATGTGAAGAAAAACAACAACAACAACAACAACAACAACAACAACAACAACAACAACAACAACAACAACAACAGACTAGTCTAAATGTCACTAACTGGGACGCCATGAAGGGGCGGCTTGGGGGAGGCTAAGCTATTTCCGGATTAAAGACAGAAACGGTAGCTACAGCAGATTTGCTCGTACGTGTCGATGAAGGCTGCTACCTTGCACTCTAGCTCGTTTTGGAGTGTCATCGCCATCCTCCTTCCTTCCAACTCCATCGTTCTCACTACTATCGTTTGTGTGTGTGTCCAACCTGCACTATTGCGGGGCACCGCGGTGCCCAACCTGCACTCTAGCGGGACTTCCCTCAATAGTGCAGGTCCTGCACTATTGAGGGCGCTGTCTGTGTCCAGAGATTTCACCTGCACTATACCGGGCACCTGCACTATTCAACCTGCACTATAGAGGGCCCAGTGCTGTATACACATTTTTTCCCCTATAACATTTTGTGTCTACATAACAGATATCGCTTTATTCATGTCCTTTGTTGCTTCCGACACAGGAGGAATGGCCGGAAATCAAAGACAACTTGCTCGCCGGACAAACAGCTTTCAACCGCGCCGAACTTTGCGAACGCGTTTTCAAGCAGAAACTTGATGTCCTCCAACAGGTGATGAGTATTTTTTTCAGAATTACAATGTGTAACTTCCCAATCAATGCCCTTTTTCAACACAAAAAAAGGAGGAAACAGGAAAACTGTGCGTGCATATCTGTACCGTGTATTTGTTACCTTGAAAGTTGTCCCGAACATGCCACGACATCCTCAACATCTCATTAACCCATCTGAAATGTATCACTTCGACCAATACCATGTCCAACGCAGGTAGGTCCTACCGCACGTATTCGATCCAATACAATCCCGTGTTATTTTTCACTGTACGTCCGCAGACACATTCTGACAGCACTTCAGACAGCAGCTTTGTGCCCCGCCAGCTTCTTGTTCCATGCCTACCATGGTGTTTTTGTACAGACAGCACTTCAGACAGCAAGTATGCTGTAGTCGGCAATCATTCGTTTTGGTACAGAGTGGGACAGGTAGGGGGTGATGTTGCTGTAGTCGAACGGTGAGACGGACGTGTAGTTCAGTTTTGGGCACGCGTACGGTGCTGCAGGGATTATATATAGGTGTAGTAGTACCTCTTCGGGCTCTTGTACACCTTTTTCTTGCTACGTGTGCGTGTTCTTTAGATCCTCAGATGGCTCCAGCACTTTCGTGACCACGGGCCGAGAGTCTTTGCTAGATTTTGGCATTTAGCAACTGGCATACGGTTTAGTGTGAAGTCAACAACAACAACAACAACAACAACAATACCGAATAATTGCAGTGATCGAATTCCAGGTAAGATTGTTCGGGTTAGAGCTAGGATTAAAACAACCTCATCTACATACAGTCCAAAAACTTTTTTCATTGAATTTTTACCATATCGTTGTGCGCCGACTCCAGGAGCTGGGGCGGAGGAGGAGAATCCCGCTCTACATGTGCTTCATCGATCTGCAGAAGGCATATGACTCGGTGGACCGGGAGCTACTGTGGAAGGTGCTGGCCCGGGCCGGGATCCCCGGGGAGATGATCGCCGTCATCCGCAAGTTCCACGTCGGAATGCGGGCCCGGGTCCGCACGGACGATGGGGAGCTATCGGACTGGTTCCCGGTCACGCAGGGATTACGACAAGGGTGCTCAATGTCCCCACTGCTGTTCAACGTCTTCTTCGCAGCGCCTCTCGAG